AACGAAGAAAGCAGAGCGTGTTTTCGCTGGAAAAAGACTGGTCACCTGAAAAAGGACTGTTCAATCTGATAAACCAAGCAGAGAAGGTGAGAGGCACCTACAAGAGAAAGAGCTAAGGCATTCACAAAGGAAACTGTGGGCACATCATGGAGTGCTACCTTTTAAGTGTCTCAGAACAGTATACCACGTGGACCAAGTCAAGTATTACTGTGGAAGGTAGCGGTCAAGGATTCTTGAACTGCATCACACCGTCGAGGGACAAGCAGAATATCCTCGTGAAGAATATACTGCATGTCCCAGACCTAGATGGAAGCCTTCTATCAGTGAAAACCCTTGCTAATAACGGTCTCACAATTCAATTCCGAGGTGTTGAATGTACAATCTGAAACAATAAGCTAATCCTCGCAAAAGGAAAATTGGATGAACACCTATTATAAAGAGAGGCTTATCAGAAGATACAACGTATTCCCCTGCCAAATGACATTCAAATACTGTATGGAAGCAAAGGCCACAAGAACCCCACTTCCACAGGCCACTCAAAGCAAAACCACCCACCCCATGAAGCTCATACACGGTGATGTGTGCGGACCAATGAAAACTCATTAGGTGGGAACAGATATCTATCTGAAGAAACAAGGTATAAGGTACACCAGATGACCACACCATACACTACTAAACAAAATGGTGTAGCAGAATGGAAAAATCACACTCTTATAGAAATGGCCAGATGCATGCTGTCAGACGCCAACCTACCTAAGAAGTATTGGGGAGAAGCAGTCATGACTGCAACATACCTACAGAACAGACTACCATCAAAAGCCATTGAAATCACCCCTTTTGTAATGTGGCATGGATCGAAGCCTAGCCTTGGGCACATCAGAGTGTTTGGCTGTAAAGCGTATGCCTATATTCCAAAAAAGAAGTGATCAAAGTTTGAAAACACAGCAATTGAATGTGTTCAGATGGGCTATAGTGAACAAAGTAGGGATATAGAATCCTCCACCCAAAGAATGACAAAGTGACAATAAGTCTCAGTGTTTATTTTGATGAGAACCCAACAGAAAACCCGGGACTTTGTGAAGTGAATTTATCCAGTGAACTAGCAAAGGAAGCTGAGCACAGTGAAGCCGCACAGGACTCTGAACAAGACGTGGAACTCACAATGGATAAGTCAAATTCCATGTTAAAATCTGCTGAACAACCTGAAATTCGACAATCCAATCAGGCAACAAAGGGAATACCACCCTAAGTTGTCATATACTGCTAAGACACATAGCATACTCAAACCAACACCGTGGGAAAACATAGACAAATTACTAAAACACAAAGCCAATCAATGGCGAAAGGGAGCAGAAGAAATAAAATCACTCCCAAGAAAATAAAATCTGGACACTCAAGAGCAAGCTATTATCGACATGAAATATTGCTCATCAGAAGAAATGACTGCGGATGCACTCACAAAGCCATTGCCAAAGGATCGTCAGTTTTCCTTCAAGAGAAGCTAAACGTCATATCAACGCATATGCTGATGAGAAGGGTCGCTGTGCTTCATCTAAACACATAACCAACAGTAATGGTTCAAGAAATCAGTGCTAACAGTCTGTGATAAATACTACGGTCAGGATAGATAGCAGTACTATCTCATCCTAACACGAAGCAAAAGGAGAAATCCCCCTAGGAAAACATACTACTTACAAACAGTGGTGGGAACAAAGCTTACATTAAAGACAAATAATGTCTTCCATAAAGCAATACAAATTGGCCCACAGAATTAATCATTGTAAAATGCTACAGCTAAAACAATCTGAGATGTTGTTCTCTACTGATTAAGCCTGCTTCATTATTTAGGAGTTGATCAGATATGCATGTCCTTGCATTGGATAATCTTATGAGAGAGTCTGATCTTTACTGATCTTTACTAAGCAGATGCTCAGAACCCCTCATTTTTGTGTTGCACATCCCTCTACCTTTTTTTCTGCTTTTTTGTTATTGGTCATATCAACTGGCAGCTGGAAAATAATTTACATCTTTAGTCTTGGAGCACCATCTACTGACCATTCAGGAGAAAACGCACCTAAATATTTACAGACTACCTGAACAATTACAGTGTGTTTTTATTTTAACTGCTATTGTTACGAAAGGATCAACATGTAATATTTAGAATTGGTTTGCGTCGTGTACTTTTTTTTATGATATATTGTTTGTGAACCCTTTAGTTTTTCTTTTGGATCAAGTACTGTATTATTATTATTACTAGTTAAACACTTATTTCTTAGCTTTACTGAACTACTAGCTTAAACAATCGAACAATCATGTTGTTAGTGGATTTTTTTTATTTGCTGTAACCTTAGCCGGATGTTTTCTGTATATGCTGTTAAAACCTGTGAAAAAAAAATGAAAGTTTGTAATATTTTTAGTGACCTTTTTATATATGAAATATTACATATAATTTCATATTTACCACTATGGGCCAGCAGGTGGCAAGTACTGAAGCAATGTAACAGGTTGGAGGATCTGACATAATAGAGTGTTGCATTGAAATTGGACTTCCTCTGATGTCCTGTGTTTGTCCTCCACACTAACCATACAGATGGCAAAACATGTACATAAATATTTGGTGTGTTTTTACTCCCCGTGTGCAACATCATGACACCTACTCTGGTGGTCTCATTCCCCCATGTGCAGTACCATGGTGCTCACAATCTTGATGGGCTCTTGCAGTGCCATGCCTCGCATTATCCTGGTAGTCTCATTACCCGATGCGCATTCTATAACCCAGCTGTTTCTGTACATTTACACATATCCCACATGTATAATATACCATCATTTTCCCCAATGCAATAAAAATGCAGAAAACAGTACCATCACATAAATTAGGGGGTAAGGCAGACATATAAGATTGGGATAGTATTAATCTAGTAATCTTTGTTTGACTAGCCTTAATTATACAGTGGCCAGGGGTGCAGATTTTGAGAAATTTGGATTGTGGTGGATCATGTAGGATACCAGATGTTTTTTCTGTACTCAGCGATTCTGCTTTTCTAAAAAAGTGAATGGAGGATCATTTGTAGTTCAGTAGTAACTAGTTTTGTGGCTGTAATTACAGATCTGAAAAATGTGTGCTTACATGTATTTACTCTATCAAAATGTATTGTATTATTTAGGAGGGCCTCATGGACTGAATAGAGTAGAGTATACACTCTTATCCATTATCTCTGTACTTTAGAGCACTACTATTTGTGCTGCGCTGTGCCTTTTGACCTACAGCCACAAAAGCAATGTGATGGGTGATTCAGAACATTCTTTGGCAATTCATGCGGTTATGTATCATGCTGTTAAGTAACTTATATGTGAACTAGGGCTAGCACATTTATTGAATGTAGGAGTGCCAGATAAGATGAAACTGTGCAAAATGGTTCAGAGATGAGTGTAGGGGTAAATGTCTGTATATAGATTTATTATTATTACAGTTATTATTATTACTGTTATCATTATTATTATTATACAGGATTTATATAGCAGCAAACGTTTGTGGATTGCTTTACAAAATAAAAGAAGACAGAACAGTTAAGGCTGTGACACACTGCAGGCACAGCGACGCAAAGCGAAAAAATTGCAACCTTCCACTTCGCACCGCAGCTTGTCTACACTGTAGTTTGTACTGTATTTTTTCATGGTTACCTCTACAGAATCTGCTTGTCATGGATACCTCTACAGAGTGGATAAACCAGGTCGATTTTGGGACAGTGGTGGAGAGCCAAGGCACAGTCGAAGCTGCAAACACTACCACCCTGGTAGTTCTGCCATTGGCTCCAGGCTGTAGAGGGACTACAAGTTTCAGCAAGACATTATATAGCAATGCTGCACAATATTAAGCTGAAGCCTCTCCAGGGCTGCGTGCGGGTCTCCCCATGGCTGTGCGGGCAGCGGATATCACCAGTACTATGCGAGTGGCATGTGTCACCAGTGCTGTGTGGGCGGCCTGAAGGATGAGGTATACATGTGGGGCCTGAAAAGTGCTGTGTACTAGCGCCGGGAAGGTCCCCACAAGGCTACCGTTATGTCTCCAGCAAGTGCAAGACCTTACAGCAGCTGAAATAATTAAAACATTAAAGTGCCATTATTAGCTTTATTGGGGCATTTTTTTGGAGTAGTGTACTCATGAAAATGCCTAGTATTGGCAACGATACCAATACTGGTATCGATATTGGTGCATCCCCAGTCAGTGCTGTTTTGGCAAAGGGGAATATACTTCATATATGGTGGGAGGTCAACATGTTATGGCTGATTTGGTGTAAATGCCATGATTTAATTATTTAATGTTTAATTATTGCATTAATAAATATTCTTTGTTGATTATGAAATATATTTCAATTATTTAAAAATTATTATTATTTCAATATTTAAATAAATATTTCATTAAAT